AGAGCCCAGCCTCTCTGGTGCACAAAAGTAGTGCCTGAAGGGAGTCAGCCTGCCCCGGGGGCCAGCCTTCAAGAAGCCGGGTCTCCCCACCGTCCCTCGGTGGTTCTATGCCACGGACTGGGTACATCGCCGTTACTGTGTACTTAGTGCAGAGAATAGTTCGGCTTCCCTTTCTCTGCGCCGCAAACGTGTGGGAGGTGAGCTGGGGCACTCCCACCGCTGTGGGCTGGTGGTTCCTTCCCGAGTGCTCTGAAAACTGTCGCAGACAACTCAGCCGAGTGTGTCCCTCCCCTGGAGATGCTCAGGCTTTTAGAGAACGCGCGTGGTGTGCAAAGCAGCTGACGCGCGTCTCTCCCCCATCTCTCTCAGAGGCTCGGCAGGGAGGCAGACCCCGAGGGAGGAGGTGTGTGTCATTGCCCTCCCTGCCTCGGTAGGACCCCGCAGTGGCCCCTTGGCAGTAGGGGTGCAAGAAAGAACCTGTTCAACTTCAAGCTGTTGTGCAAATAATCAACAATCTGAGATTTCAAAGGGAACATCGAGGAAAGGGAGGTGTTTCACGCTCCCGCCCAAGTGTGAAAGAGGGAATGTTTATACCTGAGCTAGCGGTTCCCTGGGCCTGGCGGCGCTTGCCCGTCTAGCCACGCGAAGGGGGTGGACCCCTCCCACGAGATCGCTTCCCTCCCACTGACTCTCTTTTTCCTCATCGCAGAAACCTGTAAGTTCGTACCGAATGCGCCCTGCGCTGCCCGGGTCGAGCTTCCTGGCCCCCTCCGTCCCCCCGCCCCCGTCTGTAAAATGGGGAGGCAGCGGTGATGTCTCTCTCGGGACATTTTTAGGGTGGAGGGGAGTGATTTTTATAATAATCTCGGCCCAGGACTTGGCCTCTTAAAAGCCTCAGGGAGATGGATATCTGTGGGCTCTCACGGCTGTGATGCTGCCGGCGAGGGAGCTGGAAGTGGGAGCGGCCTCACTCCCCCCCAGTCAGGCCTCCATTCACCCAGCTGTAGAATCAGGCTTCGGGGACTCCCCTTCCGAAGGGCTCGCCCATTCATGGGGCCCTCCCCGCAGTCTCTGCCCAGGCTGGCCGCCTGCCGGTAGCCCCAGCAGGGAGGGTGTGGAGTGGATCACCTATGGGAGTGTCTCCTCCTGACCCAGCAGCCCAGAGCGGGGGCCCATGACGTGGGACACCCCTAAGGCAGTGCCTTCACAGGAGTGCTTGGGGACAGGACCGTCCCCCAGGCAGGGTGCCTAATATTTGACAGGTGAGGACACGGAACCTGGGGGACTGAACTTCAGCACCTCTGGCTCAGAGATGGCAGTGACTTGCCTGAGGTCACACAGCTCTTGGACCCTAGTTCTTCCTTGTTCCTCTGAGCCACTCCCCGCCTGCTGCCTCTGTCCTGTCCTGTGGGGAGGGAGAGGCAGGGTCAAGGCCTGTGTGCTGGGATGAGGAACGCCGGTTTGTGACAATTCTCCATTTGGGATTTTTAGGAAGCAGACACAGAGTCGCTGCACACCACATGACCCCTTGATGTGAGCTGGCCTGACCGCGCAGCTTCTTGTCCCTGTGTCCCCTGAACCCAGGCTGCAGCCAGTGCTGCTTCCTCCTCCTCCTCCTCCTCCTCCTCTCGCTTCCTTGATCCGTCTTCATTTTCTCTAAACCTCCCTCTCCCCTTCCTCCCTCCCTCCTTCCCCTTCCTCCCCCCATCCTTCCCCCCTTCTCCCTTCCTCCTTCCCCTTACTCCCCTTTCCGTCCCTCCTCCTTCCATCCTTCCCTCCTTCCCTTTGTCCCTCTCTCCTTCCCTCCTTGAATGTTCTGAAATGGGTATGTTTCAAGTCACGAGATAGCTTTACAGACAGCTGTCACTTCAGGACAACCCTTGGGGAGGTGGTGCTCCTGGCAGAGAATAGCCCAGCCTCCCCCCTTCCCCCTGGCCGCATCAGAGATGTCTCTAGGGAAATAGGGTCTGATGCACCAGACGGTGGTCTGGGCCACCACTGGGGAGGCGGTGGGGTCGGGCACAGAGGCTGCGGACCCCTGTTGCTGCCTGTGTCTGCTCTTCTTTCCTTGCGTGACTTCTCTTGAAGTAGTTTCAGGCTTCCAGAAAAGTCGCAGGAACACTGAGGGCTCCTCCAAGTCCTTTCCCAGAGATGAAGCTTAGCCACATTTGCCTTAGGGTCTCTGCGCCTGCACACACATATGTTGATTTCCTAGCTGACCTGTCCGAGTCGGGCTGCAGGCACAGTGGCCCTTGAGCCCAGACGGCTGGGCGTGTGTGTCGCAGGAGCCACAAAGGCCTCTCACAAACGCAGGCCGATGACTGAGATCCGAGCCCTGAAAGGTGACTGCATCCGGTCACCTCATAGACAGTTGTCTTTCTTTTGACTATTTTAGTATTAGTCTTTTTTTTTTTTTAAGATTTTACTTATTTTTTTGAGAGTGCAGATTAACTATCCTCCCTGCGCCTCTGTTTCCCCCTCTGTGGAATGGGGATGGGGAGGGTCCCAGCCTCTAGGGGCTGTTGTGAGCATTGACTGACCAGGAATCTCCGTCTGGGGCTGTGATGGGCACACAGTGAATGCTCAAGAGATAACACCGTTAGTCCTACGGGACTGGCCATGGGCTCTCTTTTCCTCCAGCCTGGCCCCTCCTCTCCCCCTGAAGATACCCCCTCCTTGGTATCGAATCCCGCCCATGATTAGGATCCCCTTGGGAGCTTTTAAAAAATCCCAGTGCTAGGCCCATACCCCAGGCCCATTAGCCTAGAGTCTCTGGAGTGGGACCCAGGCATCTGTATCTTTTTAAGGGCCCAGGCGAATTCGCGGGGTCATAGGAGACAGTGCTCAGGGTCGCTGCAGTGGTTATGGACAACCCCTGGGTCTTGTTTTGAGATGAAGGTGCCAAGCCTGCAGGTGGGGCGGGGCCTGCGACCCTGGCATCTCTCACAAGCTCCTGGTGGTCCCACGCTCCGGTCCCAGGACCACACTGCAAGGAGTACGCCCCTGGAGAAAGGCCCCAGCTGGAAACCACTGCCCGTCTTCCCTCTGTGGCTGGTGTAAATAATAGCATCGGACACTTCTCGGACTGGAGCTCTGTGCCCTCCTGATCGTTCCGTCATCCTGCTGCTGAGTGAGACTGCCAAGACCATCATCCCCATTTTATTTTTTTTTAAGATTTTTTTTACTTTGTTTTTTTTTTAATTTATTTGACAGACAGAGATCACAAGTAGGCAGAGAAGCAGTCAGAGAGAGAGAGAGGAAGGGAAGCAGGATCCCTGCTGAGCAGAGAGCCTGATGCGGGGCTCGATCCCAGGACCCTGAGACCATGACCAGAGCCGAAGGCAGAAGCTTAACCCACTGAAGCCACCCAGGCACCCCTAAGATTTTTTTTAAATTTACTCATTTGACACAGAGAGAGAACACAAGCAGGGGGCGTGGCAGAAGGAGAGGGAGAAGCAGGCTCCCCGCTGAGTAGGGAGCCCAATGTGGGGCTCCAGCCCAGGACCCTAGGATCATGACCTAAGCCAAAGGCAGAGGCTTAACCATCTGAGCCCCCCAGATCCCCCAGCATCATCCCCATTTTAAAGATGAGGCAAATGAAGCCTGGGTTGGTTGAACAGCCCATCCGTGGTTACCCGGCTAAGCCGGGCTCTGGTCCAGCCAGGAGGGCACTCAGCTCCATGGCCTGCAGGCAAGTCAAGAGACACCCCACACCGTCTGTCCCTCTCCTGCCCTGTCTCTCTCCCCTCCCACCTCCCACTCATTTGTGCTCTCTGCCTTGTCCCCAGTCCCCCAGCCCATCTCCTAAGAAATGCGTCCAGGCCCCTGCCTTCCTACCTGTCCCACAGACCCAGCCTGGGTAAAACTGGAGCCCTCACCCTGGGTTTCTCCAGGCCAGCCCCTCCTGGTCCCTCCAGCGCCCGAGCCTGTGTGCCTCCCAGACTCCCAGCTGCTTCTCCACACCCTCACTGTCCCCCCACCGCCCGCACTGCTCCCCTACCCCACACACCCCATCTTCCATCCTAAGGCTCCATAATTTCTGGCCCAGAATGCGCTTCTCCAACCTTAACAGACACACGACTCCCGGGGGGCCTTGTTAGAATACCGATTGTGGCTCAAGGCTTCTGGGTGTGCCTGAGATGTGGCATTGCTAACAAGCTCCCAGGGGGCCCGAGGCTGCCGGTCCAGCAGCACCGCCCGTGTATCGAGTTCCTGGGGGAACCCCAGCATTTCCTAGCCACAGATGCCGGCCTCTGGGCAGGACAAGGAGAGCACAACGTGGGGCCTCGCTCACACACCCATGGTGGAGATCCAAGGGGCTTCCCTCATGGCCACCCTCCTCGCCTCTCCCCCAGGCAGCCTGGCACACAGGCAGCTCCCTCCTCTTCCCCAGAAGGGTGTGCAGAGCCTCACAGGCCCCAGACCCGGGTTGGGGCAGCCCCGGGGTTGGAACCCCCGCTCTTTGAGCCTTGATTTCCTGTCTGTGAGTGAGTAGCACGTCCCGGGGCTGGAGCACACAGGTGCCAAACACTGTCAGCCTCGGCCCGTTTTATCCATCGCTCGGAACGCTCAGGGGGATCCCATTGCTGGCCGACTGTGGGGACAATTTTAACTCCCATGGACCGAGGCCTTAGTGCCCTTAATCGGTTAGATGTCCAAATGCATTTTTAAATGAGGGGCGGTGCCCTGATAGCAGGTGAGCTCACCACGTCCTCCTGCTCCTGCTTCTGAAGCCAGCCACCCCTGTGGCCCCAAAAGAAAAGGCCAGGTCAACCCCCGACCACACCCTCACCTCGACCGCACCCCACCCTCCAGATCTCCCGTTGATGCAGCTCTGAGGCGCCAGAAAGTTTTTTCCACCAGCACAGACTCATCTTTGAGCCAACTCAGCGCAGATGTAGTCAGCACGCACCCTGACCTCACCAGGCACTGGAGGCTTCTCTCCCCGCTATTTCCTGTTGTGTACCAGTGGGCGGGGGTGGGGCGGGGGCCAGCTGCACATGGCCAAGACCAACAGGCCCCCTCTCTCTCCACAGGCCCACAGAGGTGCCGCCATGGGGCTCAAGCTGTCCTGCCTGAAAGGTAAGGGGGAGAGCTTCCCCACCAGCATCTCTGGGGCTGGGAGAGGGGTGGGGAGGGGGAGGCATGAGGCTGGAGAGAGTAGGAGGATCCACCCTGGAGAGGGAGGGGGCCACCGCTTAAGGCAGCATCTGTATACAGCAGGTGCCTTATAAAGGCTTGCTCTGACTCTGAGCGCCCCTGCAGGCCTGCTACCACTGACATAGCAGGTCGGGCCTGCTGGGGACTGGGGAAGGCCAACAGGGAGAAGATCTAGAAGGACACCAGGTCACTGTGGAATGTGGTAGGTGTTGGCAGAGGGAGCCCAGACACCTGTCCTGTGCCCTAGACCCTCCTGGCCAGCGTCTAGATGACCCAGGGGCACTGCAGACCAACGTGGCCCCTACAGAGACCTCTCCCCTTGACGCCCATTATTCAGGGAGAAATGCTCCCTAGCTGGAAATCTGGGAGTCGTTCTGGTGGCCCCTCGCCCAGGTGTGGCATGCTGGCAGCGCTGACTCACCTCCTGGATGTTTGGGAGGTGCCCTGGCCCTGGCCCTTCGCTGCAGGAGGTCAGGGGCGCGGGAAGGTGCAGGCCAGAGTGAAGGACCACGCTGTGTCCCGCTGCTGGGATGGGTGAGCTCAGCAGAGGCCCGGTGGGCCCAGTTTACGGATTATGCCCCGCCCCCTTGGCCAGGGGGCGGGGCATCTTGATGGACAGTTCCTCCAAGACAACGCACGAGTGCGGGGCAGCGGTTCCCCTGGAGAAAATCAAGGTGTCGTGGGCAAGGTGGGGATGGGATGCTGGAGAGCCCTAGGCAGCCCACGCCCCTCCAGGGCCTGGCCCCTCTGAGGCCGCAGGCTGAGTCCCCACGGGAGTGGGGGCATTTGTTGGGCCGGCATCTGTGGGGGTGGAGGGCCTGCAGTTGCCTCTGGACGGAGCCCCTGGTGCTCCAGGACCCTCATCCCTTGGACTTCGCGGCCGGTTCTCCCCGGCGCTGGGCACAGAGTAGGCATTCAATACAAGCTTTTTGTTTTGGTTTTTAATCGTGGTGAGATATGTGTCACATAAAATTTGCTGTCTTTACCATTTTTAAGTGTACAGCCCCCAGACATTATGTACGTTCATGTTGTCGCCCAGAGGTCCCCAGTGGCCACCTCCAGACCTTCTCTACTGCCCCCGTCCCACACCAACGCTCCACCTGCCCCCCCGCCCCCCGCCAGCCCCACCTCCCTCGTCCTACCTTCCGTCTCTGCGAATTTGCCTACTCCAAGGGGCTCCCATGCGTGCAGTGATACAGTAACTGCCCTTTCGTGACGGGCTGATTTCACTCAGCATAACGTCCTCAGGGTCCGTCCCTGCTGTAGCAGGTGTCAGAACAGCCTTCCTCTCCAAGGCTGACGTCTGTTCCCCGAGTGTATGGACCTCCTGTGGTTGATCATTCACTCCCTGTGGACACGGGGCTGCCTCCACTTTTGGCTGCGGGGACGGGACGTCTTTGACGAGTCAGCCAAGGCCCTGGAGGAGCGAAGGGCTGGAATGTCGCTGGGGCAGCGAGGTTTGCTCACACGTTTGCACCGCAGCTCGTCAGGGCCTGTCCCCTGCCCTGGGCTGCCAGCCCTCTGCCCACACCAGCCTCACCCAGCCCTGGCCTCCGGAGGCCGCAGGTCTCTGGGGTGTGACAGGAAGGGGGAGGGAGTGGGGGAGCGCAGGGAACCGAGCACTGGACCTTCTCTCTGTGCTTCACCAAAACGACCCAGGCCCACCAGCCCAGAGCCCCAGACCCTCCTCCTCCTCCCAGAAGGGACAGGCCAGCTACAAAGGGCACAGTGCCCCACGGCCCGTTCCCTGCGCACTGCTGTCCACATTACCTTCTCGGCCCTCACGCCCGCAGGTGTGGTGTTTCCCCGCGGTGGGACTGTGACTGTCTGGGTGTCCCTGGTCTGTGTCTTTCCATGCTCTCTAACGCCTGTGTCCCATCCCGCCATGAGTGGGTCTCTGGGTGGTTTCCAGTTTGTTGCCTTTGTACATCGTGCCGTTTTGAACATCTTTGATTTCTGATTTGTTAAATTAGTATTTCTTTGGGATAAATCCCAGAAATCAGAAGGACCCAGTCAAGTTGTTAGAATACATGGTGAGTTCTTCCTGGGGTCTCAGCCGGGACAGGACCCTGTTCTGCGCCTATTCTGTGTGGATCCGTTCCCCTGTCTCCGCGACACCCAAGTGAGTCCCCCCAGGATCCCCAGTTTCTAGATGAGGACACTGAGGCACAGAGAGGCAGTGCCATTGGCCTGAGGCCACACAGCCGGGACCCGGTTTGATCTGAACCCCGGGTGGGCTCGTTCCAGAGGCCTTACTCCAACCACCATTGGTTTGGCCTCTGCAGAAGGTAACATTTTAAGTTGACATTTGAAACAGTTGCTGTAGCCAGAAACGTTATCAACACGTTCTCATTCAGCTTCACAGTCTAAGATGGTGTCAGAGTTTCCTGGAGCTGCTGTAACGAATTACCCCAAACTGAGGGGCTTCGAGCAACAGAAATGCGTTCCCCCACGGCCTGGAGGTTATGCGCTCTAACCACGCTGCCTCTCAAGGCTCTGAGCGAGGGTCCTCCCCGTCTCTCCCCGCTCCTGGGGACTCCGGGCGCTCCCAGGCATGTGGCCACGTCCTCCTGGGTCTGCCTCCGTCCTCACACGGCCTCTTCCCTGTGTCTCTCTGTGTCCTTTCTCTTAAGAAGACACCAGTCTTGAACTTACAGCCAGCCTTAAATCCAGGGTGATCTCATCCCCAGATTCTTTTTTTTTTTTTTTGTAAAGATTTTATTTATTTATTTGACAGAGATCACAAGTAGGCAGAGAGGCAGGCAGAGAGAGGAGGAAGCAGGCTCCCTGCTGAGCAGAGAGCCCAATGCGGGGCTCGATCCCAGGACCCTGAGATCATGACCTGAGCTGAAGGCAGAGGCTTTAACCCACTGAGCCACCCAGGCAACCTCATCCCCAGATTCTTAACGAATCACATCTGCAAAGACCTTATTTCCAAATAAGGCCACATTCTAAGGGTCTGTGTGGACGTGGATTTGGGGGGACACTCTTCAGCCCACCATGAATCCTTTCACCCCTGAGCCCCGCACAGGCAGAGTGGGAAGGTGCTTCTCTGGCCTGACAGCAAAGACAGCCTGAGGTGCGGACACGTGAGAGTGTGGCACGGAGCAGAGGAACACACTTGTGCCAAAATCTTTGTTTCTGGTCCCAAAGGGGAGCGGGCACAGCAGAGCACTGGGAGTGGGTCCTGCTGCCCAAGGGCCTGGCCGTGGCAGCTGGGACATGTGGGAGCGCTCTGCTGTCCAAAGAGCGCCTCTCCCGTGCCCTCTGGTGGTAGGGCTGGCGTGGGCCGGGCGTCGCTGGGAGCCAGGTGCTGCTCCCTCGATGTGCCTGTTTCGTGCTCGTTACAGCTGGACAGTGTAGGTGACTTGACAGTGGGGAGACCGAGGCACAGGGCTGCTCTCACCAGCCCTGCATCCCCTAGCCGGCCAGGAGGGGCTTGGCTCAGCGGGCAGGAGAGGGATGAGTGGTTTCCCGGTTTGTGGGTTCACGAGCATGTTCTCTCCAGGTCAGCAGCAGGCGGCACTGCCCCAGGGAGCAGCAGGGTCGGGCCCCCAGACCTGCGGCCTCCGCTTCACCTGGGAACTGGTCAGACGCGTGGGCCCCTCCCAGACCTACTGAGTCAGAAGCTCTGGGGGTTTTTAACAAACCCTCAGGGGGATTCCAGTGCCTGCTCAAGTCTGAGAACACTGGTGCCCAGGCTCCAGGGTCAGAAAGATCTGAGTTCAGATCCCGGGTATGTCCTGGCAATCTGCAACGTCGTACAAATCAGTTCATGTATCAAAGCCTCAACTTCCTCATCTGCAAAATGGAGTAACGAGTGGGGACATCTCCCGGGCCAGGCTTCGAGAGTTATCTGAGACTGGTGCTGTAGATGGACAGGGTTTCCTGTCTGCCCGGCCCTTTGTACCTTCCCATTCCAGTGGCAGCTGCAGGTGCAGGGGAACTCAATCTGGAGGTGTGGGCTTTCCTGTGGGGCTACCTCGGGGGCCGGTGTGGTCTCTGGGCTTCCCCTGAGGGCACCAGCGCCAGCCCCAGCCAATGACAGCTTCGCTGTGGAGACAGGCTCCTGGGCTGGGCTGGTCCCAGCGGACCGTACTTCTGGGGTGCCTGGGACCAGGTGGGAAGGCACCAGGAGATGGAGACTGGATCTGGGGTTGGTGCCTCGCTCATGTGTTCTAAGGACTATTTGTTAGGACCGTTTTAGATTTACAGAAAGTAGTTTCAGGTTCACGGTTTCCCCTCTAGTTAAAGCTTGCCTCGGCTGGGTCCCTGCCTCGAGGGCCCTGAATGCGCCCAGATACGTCATCGCCGGCGCGCTTCCGCTTTGTTCAGCTTTCCTGTTCTCCCCGCCAGCCCCTTCGCTGTCCCAGGAGCCACCTTACAATTCCTCGTCACGTCTCCTCAGGCTCCTCGGACCGTGTCAGTTTCTCAGAAGCTCCTGTCTTTGTGACCTTGACTGTCTTGAGGAGGACTGGCCGTCTGTTTGGGAGGACAGCCCACTGTTGGGGTCTGCCCAGTGCCGGTGGGGTCTTAAGTCTCTTGTGCCGAGCAGGTGACGATGGTGATGGTGGGGCCTGGGACATGGGTCCGCCCTCCCCTGCGCCCCTGATTGCCCAGGCATTTCTCCCACTTACCTCGCAGGGGGCTCAGAGCCTCTCCCTCCCTCCGGCCTGTACCCAGGCATGGGGTGGTTGGGGGCCGGCCGTCGCAGTGCCCGTTTCTCATTGGTGTCAGGGGGCCTGAGACCAGCCGCAGGTCACAGCGAAGATGAGCGTCACGATGCGGCGCGCCTTCTAGGGCCAAGTCCAGGTGTGAGCCGTCCGACGCTGCGGGCAGAGCTGGTCGAGAGACTGCCCGCTGCACCAACAGCGATCGTATCCCGACTGTGCGTGGATCCAGGGCCGGCTACGGGGCTTCAC